ATGTTCTGTATGGCAAATGTGCTGCTCTGATTGGTCAATAAATAAAACACTGATTGGCCAGTGACTAGGCAGGAAGTATAGGCGGGACTAACAGAGAGGAGAAAAGAAAGAACAGGAAGGCAGAAGGAGTCACTGCCAGCTGCCGCCATGACAAGCAGCATGTGAAGACGCCGGTAAGCCACGAGCCTGACAAAGATTTGTCCTGACTGTGGACAAAGCAGGAAAACTCTAGCTACACCAACAACTTAAAAAAATTTGGAGAGATCTCATATTAGCAACTTAACATGACACCTGAAAGCTCTAGAATAAAAAGAAGAAATAATAGCCCAAAGAAGCAGATGTCAAGAAATATACTCAGGGCTGAAATCAATAAAATAGAAACAAACAAAAAATAACACAAAGAATTAATGAAACAAAGAGTTAGTTCTTTGAGAAAATCAGTAAGATTGACAAACCTTTAGCTAAATTAACTAAATGGTGGAGAGAGATCGAAATGAACAAAATTAGAGACATACAGGCAGATATAACAACAGACACCAAGAAAATCTGAAGAATTAGAAGGACATACTTAGAAAACCCTGTAATCCACCAAATTAGGAAACCTAAACAAATGAATAAATTTCTTGATATATACTATCCACCAAAGTTAAAGCAATATCAGATAACCAATTTAAACAGACCTATAAACCCTATTAAAACAGAAATACTGATTAAAAGTCTCACAACCAAAAAAAGCCCAGAACCAGATGGTTCTAACACAGAATTTTATCAGACTTTTAAAGAATCAATACCAATACTCCTCAAATTATTCCACAAAATAGAAACAGAAGAAACATTGCCCAACTCTTTTAATGAGACCACAGCTACCCTGATTCCCAAACCACATGAAGACCCAACAAAGAAAGAGAATTACAGATCAATTTCCCTTATAAACATAGATGCAGAAGTACTCAATAAAATATTTGAAAACCAAACCCAAGAACACAACAACAACAAAAAAATCACCCACCACAACCAAGTAGACTTCCTCCCTGGGATGCATAGGTAGTTCAACATATATAAATCGACAAATATAATCCACCATATAAACAGACTGAAAGTCAAAAACCACATGATCATCTCAGTATATGTAGAAAAGTCCTTTGAAAAAAAATACCATTTCATGATAAAAGTCCTAAAGAGATTGGGGTACAAGGGACATATCTAAACATAACAAAGGCAGTTTATAGCAAGCCCATAGCCAGCAGCAATTTAAATGGAGAGATACTCAATCAAAGCAATTCCACTAAGATCAGAAACAAGACAAGGTTGTCCATTCTCTCCATATCTATTTGATATAGCACTTGAAGACTTAGCTAGAGCAGTGAGACAACTGAAGGAGACCCAGAGGATACAAGTAGGAAGGGAAGAAGTCAAAGGATCTTTATTTGCAGATGATATGATAGTATAGATAAGTGACCCTAAAAATTCTACTGGGAAACTCCTACAGCTGATAAACATTTTCAGTAAAGTAGCAAGACACAAAATTAATACACAAGAATCAATAACCCTCCTACATACAAATGACAAAGAAATCAGGGAAACAATACCCTTCACAATAACCTCAACTACTACACAATATCTTGGTGTAATTCTAAACAAGCAAGTCAAAGATTTGTATGATAAAAAACTTCAATTCTTTGAAGAAAGAAATTAAAGAAGATATCAGAAGATGTTAAGATCTCCCATGCAAATGGATCAGCAGGATTAACATAGTAAAACTGGCTACCCTACCAAAGGCGATGTGCAGATTCAATGCAATGCCTATCAAAATTCCAACACAACTCTTTGTAGATCTTGAAAGGGCAATTTTTAGCTTCATGCAGAAAAAGAAACAATACTGAATGATAAAAGAACTGCTATAGGTATCACTATCACCAATCTTAAATCTACTACAGAGTTATAGTAATAAAAACAGCATGGTATTGGCATAAAAACTGACCCATTGATCAATGGAATCAAATTGGAGACGAAGAAATAAGTCTACCTATGAACACCTAATTTTTGGTAAAGAAGCCAGAAATATCTACTGGAAAAGAAACAGCATCTTTAACCAATGGTGCTGGTCAAACTGGATGGTTGCATGTAGAATGCAAATACATCCAAACTTATTGTCCTGCACAAAACCAAATTCCAAATGGATCAAATACCTCAAAATAAGGCCAGATTCACTAAATCTGATAGAAGAGAAAGTGGGGAACAATTTTAAACACATTGGCACAGGAAAAGACAATAGCACAGGTACTAAGAAAACAATTAATAAATGGGATCTTATGAAACTAAAAAGCTTCTCTGTCAAAGGATACTGTCAGTAGGACAAAGAAGCAGGCAACAGAATGGGAAAAGGTTTTTTTCAACTATACATGAGTAGAGGGTTAGTATCTAAAATATATAAAGAACTTAAAATACCAGACAACAAGAAAATAACCCAATTGAAAAATGGGGTACACATTTAAAATAAGAATTCTCAAAAGAGGAAACTCAAATGAGTGGGAAGCACTTCAAGAAATGTTCAACATCCTCAGCCATTAGGTAAATGTAAACAAAACTACTTTGAGCTTGCATCTTATACCCATCAGAATGGGTAAGGTCAGTAAAACAAATGGCAGCCCATGATGGCAGAGATGTAAAGGAAAGGGAACACTCCTCCATTGCTGGTGGGACTTGTACAGCCACTGTCGAAATCAGTGTGGCAGCTCCTCAGAAAGATGGGGGAATCAGTCTACCTCAAGCCATCCTACCACAGAGACACTTGTTTAACCATGTGTATTCATTGCTGCTCTATTTATAATAGACAGGAATTGGAAATAACCTAGATGTCTGTGTATGGATGAACAGGTAAAGAAAATGAGGTACATTTACACAATGATATTCTGCCATTAAAAAATGGAAAAGAACAGGAAGGCGGAAGGAGACACTGCCAGCCGCCGCCATGACAAGCAGCATGTGAAGACGCCGGTAAGCCACGAGCCATGTGGCAAGGTATAGATTTATGGAAATGGATTAGTTTAAGATATAAGAACAGTTAGCAAGAAGCCTGCCACGGCCCTACAGTTTGTAAGCAATATAAGTCTCTGTGTTTACTTGGTTGGGTCTGAGCGGCTGTGGGATTGGCGGGTGACAAAGATTTGTCCTGACTGTGGACAAGGCAGGAAAACTCTAGCTACAGAGAAGTCCAGTTCATGCCTACCTAGAGCTTTCACCTTTATAGACTAGTGTTCATGGTACTGAAAGGTACTCTGTATGCTATCAAAGGAGAAAGGTGAACACCAACCCTTTAATCTACAATGCTGTCCTGCCTGCAAGACACACTGGTACAATACTAGCATAAAGCTTGTGGGAGTAACCAACCAATATCTGATTTGAATGAGTCAGATTCTATTCCATTCTGTGAGATGGATCCATACTCAACACTGTTTGGGTGGCCAAGAACCTGAGATTAAATAGGCCAAGGACCTAGGAGAAAACCATATACTACTGTTCTACTACCACAATGTAGCAATGAAATGACTCCTAATGACATCCTGGTATACTCACTGATCCAGGCCTTGCTCAGCCATCATCAGTGAAACTTCATCCTCTAGCAGATGGTTGCAAATACACAGACCCACAGCCACACAGTATACTCTGCCCTTTCAGAGGCTCAGGGGCTTGTTTTGGTAGTAAGCCTTTGAAGCCTCCACACTTGGGGCAGTCTGTTCCCAGGCCTTTCTTCTCCTTCCTTCTCACTTGTCTTGCTAGTTTTCTTTCTTCACACTGCATTTCTTCCTCTGATTTTCATGGTCTCCTTAATCCTTCCCTAGATGGACCCAACTCAAGATGGCTAGAGAAGTCTTGGTTGATACAGACATAGTGCCTGTCAGGGAACCCTAAGGAGTTCCCCAAATCAGAAGGGTAAATCAAACTGTTAGGATAGTTGGCCATGCTTTTCATGCTGGCCACCTGTGCCTGGACTGTGTCCTAACTAAGGCTTGACATGCTAATGGTTTTTGAGAAAGTTCAAGTATATTTCAGTTGGTCACAGCTCACCTTTGCACAGCTCACATAGGAACCCCTTCCTCTTACCCGGGGTATAAGAATTCTCTCTCGCCAGGCGGTGGTGGCGCATGCCTTTAATCCCAGCACTCGGGAGGCAGAGCCAGGCAGATCTCTGTGAGTTCAAGGCCAGCCTGGTCTACAGTGTGAGATCCAGGACAGGCACCAAAACTACACGGAGAAACCCTGTCTTGAAAAACCAAACAACAACAAAAAAGAATTCTCTCTCTCTGCTGCCTAAGACTTGCTTCTGGAGAAGGATGCTTGAAGACTTATTCACACTAAGTATATATACATAAAGAATGGTCAAGAAGGAAATGTGCATTGAATCATGACTAAATCATTTTTAAATTAAAAAACTGTTAGGTGAAATATACCCACAAAATGACAAAAGAGATAATAGATGGTAAAAAACATAGATGATTATACTGTCAAAATATAAAATATAAATACACACAGATGACCGATCATATCAAAATACTAATACGATTATTAATATTTTGCTTACCCCATGGAAGTGTGAGCTACACTGATCAAGTGACTTGATGTCTTCTTATTCCATGGTGCTGCTGTCCACCTCCTCCCCCACCCAGTTCTAGCCTGGAGGTAGCCTCTGTTGCTGGTTTCCATACACCCTTCCAAAGCTACCCTGCACATGTATCTGTGGTGGGGGCTTATCGCCTGAACCTACTGTTAATGTGCAGCAGCGCTAATACATGGTACATGTTCCTTCTAACTCTTCACTGGACATGTCAGGAGCCATCCACCGAGCTTGTGTTAGTACTTTGAATACTTTCCTGCAATGTGAAAGGCTGGCCTCACCTCATCCACGGCTGGCTACACTTAGGCCTAAGGAGTACAGAAGTGCCTCTTTGAAGGTCACCCACTTGAACTAAACAACCTCTCTGATTTAGGGGAAAATTTACCTTAAAAGTAGCAAAGGCATCTGAAGCAATATCAAATGTCGACAGCTCCACATACTTGAAGAAATCTCTGAACTGATTAGAAAACAGGATGATTTTGGCAAGTGGTTCATGTCGAATACATTCTCTTAGCATAATCCCACAGCGTAAGGCAATCTGTGGGGCTTCATATCTAAAACACAAAGAAGACAAAGCAGAAGAGTTATCCCACTAACAAACTCTATCAATGGCATCAGATGATCCAGTTCAGTTCTGCTGATAACAGAAACACAGACACCATTTGTTACAGTTCATTCAAACACCATTCATTCAGCCCACTGATTGCTATGTGCTGGGCACCGTTCCAGATGTTGTGGACACACAGCAAACAGGGAGGTCACTGTCACTGCAGCCTTAGCATTTTAGTGAGGGTGTGTTTGTTGGAAGAAGCAGAATAGAAACAATGTAAAGGTCATTTCCTATACTCTGAAGTTCTGTGAAAACTAAAGGCAGTAAACTGAGCCCTCTAGAGTTCTACCTACGCGTGTGCCTGTGAGAGGATGAGGGAGTACTTTTAATTTATACTGAAGGAGAAGGAAGAAGCCTCAAGGAAAGAACAAGCCTGGGGAGTCAGAGGAGAGGAAATGTGGCCAGCATGGTGGGATGGAGGAAGCAGTGAGTAGGGCAGGGCAGGACCAGATCATATATACATTGGAAAGCTAAGGTAAGCAGTTTGGTTTTCAGTGTGGTGGAGGATTAAAAGCAAGAAATTAACACATCCTAATTGGTTTTAAATAGAAGGCTGGGTGGGGGTAGGGTGTAGTCTAGTGATAGAGTAATTGTTTAGCATGCTGGAGGCTCTGGGTTTGATTCCCAGCACCAAAAAAAAAAAAAAAAAAGACTTTGGTTACTTGTGAATAAGGAGTAGACTGTGCAGCTAGAGTGTAAGCTGGGGAGGTGCCTGGCAATAGTAATAACAGCTTGGTATGGTGGTAGAGGCAGGCCACAAGACCGTAGGTAGATGCTGATGCTGTCTAAAAGAGCCAACAAGATTTAGAGATACTGGAGGTGGGGTTGATGAAGAAAAAAATCCAAGCTGAAAATTTAAGAATGATTCCTGTGCTTCTGGCTTCATTGGGTAGATAGTGGTACCATGCATAAACTGATAGAGAAATGAGTTACTGAAGAAGTTAAGAAATGGCTGCGGCCCATCAACATTAGTTTGGAGATGGCTAATACCTAAGCAGTGATGACCCCTTGTCAGCAGAGTACCCATCTTGAATTAAAGAAAAGGTCAGGAGAGAATTACATATAATATGGCCTGTAAGCAACAGATGAACACTAAAGGGCTGCCTACTGACTGGCTCACTGACATCATGAAGTGGAATTATGGCTCACAGAAAAGTACACTAGAGGAATATGCTATCTACCATAGAAACAGAAAGACTGGCACACCAGATCTGCTCCATTTCCAAATAACATGTCTTTCAAATGTTAAACTCAGCATCTGAATGAACACAGGACTGAGTTAAATTGATTTTGATAACATTTCAAGAAAATGGGTAACTGTCCACGTAAGACAATTCCTGTATGGAATGCTATAATGGACAACTGTGTGCTAAGTGCAGGAAGACAGAGCAGAGGCAGCTGCAGCTGTAGAACACGGAGAAGCAGAGTCAAAACATGACTATTCTACCCCGGTTTTAAACAGATTGATCATTTCCCACTTCAGTTAAATATGCACTAAGATCTGTGGTTTCAGTACAAGGCCTCTAGAGAAGAGTACATCTAAATGTCTCAGTTCTTGAAAAGGTATGCTAGTGCAGTGCTCTCTGCAGACCAGGTTGGCCTCGAACTCACAGAGATCTGCCTGGCTCTGCCTCCTGAGCGCTGGGATTAAAGGCGTGTACTACCACCGCCCGGCAATAATTCTTTTTTTTTTTTTCCATTTTTCTTTATTAAGAAATTTCCTGCTCATTCCACATACCACCCACAGATCCCCCCTTTTTTCTCCTCCCGTCCCCAGCCCTCTCTCCCAAGTCACCCCGCATCCCCACATCCCCCAAATCAAGGTCTCCCCCGGCAATAATTCTTAAATAAAACTTTAACATAGAGGCTGGGGAGATGGCTCAGTGGTTAAAAGCACATACTGCACTTGCAGAGGAGCTGAGTTTGGATCCCAGTATCCATCCCTGTCAGATGACTCACAACCAGTTCCAGGGGAAATACAACACCTCTGGCCGCCATAGGCACTTGCACTCATGTGCATATTCCCATAGACAGATGCTTATATACACATAATGATAATTAAATCTAAAAACAACCACAACTTTAAGATAGTTTATGAAACTCACCAACTACTAATGATAACATTTTGTTAAATAGAGAACAATGTACTCTTTTTCATATGACCATATTATTTGTATGAAATTCTGATACAAAAATAAAATTCCCTTTCCTACACCTTAGGAAGTAGGCTACTTTAAAACAATAGGGGAAATAGCAAAGAAAGTTCAGGGTAGTACTGATTTATTTTCACTTATGCTAAATGAAAACCACCATTCAGTACTATTTTAGTACTCCCTTGGTAGCTCACGATAGCACAGAATGTTGATATATTCAGGTAGACATAAGTCTCTTTAGAATATAAGAAATGCCAATTTATATTAGTAATCTCTTATGAAAGGAATTTGGAAATCTGCCTATTGGAATTCACTGCTGTTAGATATAATATGGGATGTTATTAAAGATGTAAAGAGGGGCATATTTTCTTAAATGATAAGGAAAAACCACTAACTACACTTACCTTGCTACAAATAAGAGTATTAAAGAGGCTTTAAAATAAAGAATAGTGGCCTAGAGCAGTGGTTCTCAACCTTCCTAATCCTGCAACCCTTTAATACAGTCCCTCATGTTGTGGTGATGCCCGACCATAAAATTATTTTATTGCTACTTCATAACTGTAGTTCTGCAACTGTTATAAATTGCAATGTAAATATTTGATATGAGACCCCAAAGAGGTCGCAACCTATAGGATGAGAAGCACTGGCCTAAAAAAAGAACAGAACTAGAGAAACACAGTATCCAGGACTAATTAAAATCTACACTCACTGGTAAGATAACTGTGACCTTTCAGGATCTGGCTTGAGGCCAGCAGTTTTACGTCCCCTCTCAGTCCTTGTGTCCTTAGGGGATGAAGTTCTCTGGGATGGAAGGGCTCTCATACACTTGGCATCACTAATGCATCTCTCAGCACTGAGTTCAAGGCCCATCTCAAGTCTTTCGTACTCCTCTCCTTTGCATCCCCAACACAGCTGTTCCTAACCTCACATCAGCATTGTTCTCATTGTGGAGTATCATGTCACACTGCATTAAGTCTCTACCAGTCAGTTTCTATCACTTCATTTCAAACAACTCAGCTTCTGGGGATGTGTCTCACTCATCCTTTTACACTTCCCTTTCCCTGTTCTTCCCGGTTCCCAATAGGTGTTTATCTCCTATTTATTGTTACTTTCCCCAACCCCCCCATGACTCTAGTGCCTTGCATGCTTCTTCAGTGTAGGCATATGATGAATCCAATGAACCTCAAACTCAAATTGAATCTCCCAATCCCAGAGAACTCTAATGAATGTCAAGTTCTGGCTTACACAAAGGCTGAATGATCTCCAGCCATTCTCTCATTCCTGAATTTAGTTTCCAAGCTGAGACCATCTATAAAAAGTTTCCACTCCAAGTTTTGGGCATAATTAGTTATATTTTTCCTTTTATTTCATGAAGTTTATTGGAACCATCTGTGATGCACTGATGGTTTATTTTTGAGAACCAAGGGAACATTTATAAAATACTCCACTGGGGAGAACACTTATCAATTCATCCCAGCAGTTTGTCCCCAACAGTGGAAAATGTCATTCTCTGACACAGCAACTTCTTAAAGTAAGGAACATACTGGGATGTTTGGGAATTTTCTGACTTTTCCCCAATACCCTCTATGGGGTGTATCATTTCAACCTGAAAATCCTGGCTTCGTAAGTTACTGCTTACTATATAAAGAAGCGTCCCATATGCTAAGCTTGTCTTCAGTTTTAAAATTAGTTTTTAGCCTACCTAATCTGTTCTACTCCTAGATAAGTTTCCTGGTAACAGAGCCTGTGATTAATCATGCCACAACGGCTAGCCTAGGGCAGGTCACCAGTAAAAATTAGTCACTACTTTATAAAAGTGAGTCACATTCTCCTGACTTGTAGTTTAGACAACACAGTTGATCACCAGCTTTGTCAGTATGGAGAATGCCCACTACTATAGATGCATGTTCATTTAAAAAAAAAAAAAAGCAGCATATCAGAGGATCCTTTTAAACTGACTTAAAGCAAAATGGAGAGCAAATGTCCTTAGAGAAATCAACCTCGAATGACCAGGAAACTCTCCCTGCTGGCCAGCGTAGACTGTACAGGAGGGTACTCTGAACACTGCTGTAGGAGAAAAGACATCTGGATCCTGTTTTAATAACAACCTGGCTGGCAGGATGTGCCCATTGGTGCAACAGTGGTATGATGGTTATGTGGGTAACACAACACTTTTTAAAAAAATTAGATATGAGGCCTGTTCCATAGGAGGGATTTCAATGACCACTATTGTAAAACTGATCAAAAGCTTATGCTGGGGAGATCATAGGCTCTATGGGGGACACTTATTATTGCTAGTAAATGGTCATATTGTTAAAATGCCTTCTAAATATTTGTTTATAACCATAGATTTGTGTTGTTCTCAACTTGGCTTAGAGTAGTCACTTTTGGCAGTGCACAGTAGTGAATGAAGAGTCTCACATCTGGTCCAGGTGCCAAGAACAAGAAAAGTGTTCCGCTGTGGCTGAATAATCTACATTAACTCAACTCCCATCCAAGGTGCAGAGAACACAGTGAGAGAGTGGCCAGAGAGAATAGAAGAGATGACAGATGAGGAGGAGAGCTGTGAAGACATGACATGGCTGTGGCACACATCAATTCACAGGCCCCGTGGTTATCTCATAAGATCTGCATATGACCGAGCCAGGAAAATTTTACTGAGAGGCCCCACCCTTGGCAAAAGAGCTAATAGCAATTCATGGTGACTGAAGGAATGAGAGTCACTCATTCTCTTTTAGGGATACCACTGGTAGTTTGCCCATACCTCAGTGGATGGTTCCATACCTGTGTGCATGTGGACAGCATTAACTGGACTCAAGGTGTGATTTTTTTTCCTAGATCATGGGGTTATTAATACCAAAAAGTCATTAACTGATACTATGAAAATATTTTACATAAATACATAACAATTAAAAAAAGTGTTATTTAAATAAATAAAGAAGAATAAAAAGAGCAAATGTTTCAACTGGTAATGAGTGCAATGATCATTACATAGAAAGTGCCAGAAGAAAGATCTTGTGTAAGAACATCTCAAGAACAAAGACTGTATTATATAAAAGAAAATGAGTTGTTGTTACTGTTGGGAACAAACAATGCCATGTGACAGCCATTGGAAAACGTCTCAGAAAATGTCATTTACTGAACACTTTACCTACTCAATAGTCAAGAAGATCTGCTTCTAATCTGGAAGCATTTGCAAAATTTAAAAATAATGAATTAACTCCGTCCACTGTGAAGGGTTAGGAATAGTAACAATTCCATGTGAGGAAGAATTGGGAGCCAGACAAATGTCTCCAAGAACTATTCCTCATCAAAAGAACCAGAGTCCAGATCTGTGTCTGGAGATGTGAAGTTGGGTCTGGCAGATCTTCTTGCATCAGAAAGCAAAGAAGCTCTTTCAGAATATTTTGATGAGGTCAAAAGACTATGTCCAGAAAAGGCCACAGTTAATTCAAAGTTAAGAAAATTGTGAACAATACATGTACATGAGCCATGTGGGAATATTTCATCAGTTAGTTAATAAGATACCAGATGGATATGCTTTTGTGTGTGCGAGAGGAGATGGAGACAGACAGATGCAGGCAGGGAGAGGAAGAAGAAGAAGAAGAAAGTCACTGGACACCAGTGGAAGTTTCTAGGACAATAACTTATCCAAGCTGAAAATGAAAATAGGTGTTTATTCTGCCGCCCTGATATGAATTCTACTTGGAAATAACAGTTAAAGTAGATGAAAGTTATTTATTTATTTATTTATTTATTTATTTATTTATTTATTTATTTATTAGAAAACTAGCTAATGAAGAACTGGTTTTGAAAATTATCTTTCTGTGACACTTAACAAAATGACTAAATCAGATGATGCTTATCACTGGTAGATAAAAAATGTTCAATGTAAGGATGACAGAAAACCTTATAATTAATTAGATGTAACCATCTGTGTTGCTGGCTTTTCTTTTACTCTTTGTCTCTTTGGGGGCCCACCACCCAGCTCCCAAATAAATCACATGGAGGCTTATTTTTCTTTGGGGGCCCACCACCCAGCTCCCAAATAGATCACATGGAGGCTTATTTTTAATTATACATGCCCGGCCTTAGCTTGGCTTGTTTCTTGCCAGTTTTTCTTAAATTATCTGTCTACCTTTTGCCTCTGGGCTTTTCCTTTTCTATACCTTTCTTTGTTTCTTACTCCATGGGTGGCTGTCCCCTAGAAAGAGTAAAAGAAAATCCAACAACATTTTGGTGCCCTATGTTGGGTGCCAAAATGTTGGTTGGTTTTTGCCCCGCCACCCAGCTCCCAAATAAACCACACACGGAGGCTTATTCTTACTTATAAATGCTAGGCCTTAGCTTGACTTGTTTCTAACCATCTTTTCTTATCTTAAATTGTCCTTTCACCCTTATGCCTCTGGGCTTTTCCCATTCTCTTACTTCTGTAAATCTTACTTTTACTCCATGGCTTACTGTATAGTTGGGTGGCTGGCCCCTGGAGTCCTCCTCCTTCTCTTGCTCCTTCTTCTTCTTCCGTATACTCTCTCTGTCTGCAAGCCCCACCTATCCTTTCTTCCTGCCTCGCTATTGGACATTGAGTTCTTTATTAGACCATTAGGTGTTTTAGACAGGCACAGTAACACAGCTTCACAGAGTTATACAAATGTAACATAAAACAAAAGCAACACACCTTAAAATATATTGTACAACACTCTGAGCCTAGAGCGAGTCTCAGCACCACTAGAGGAATGTCTACTGATGTGACTGGAAAACTACTTGTAAAATACTTCTGCCAAAATAAAAGTTCAATTTGAATCTAATCAAGTCTTTAAATAGAATCTCTAGCCTAGAAACAGGTAATAGTGGAAAGATTTACTATTATTTTAAAAACTTATCTAATTTAATATTATGGGGAGAGGCAATACATGTGCCATGCATAGAAGCCAAAGAACAACTTTTAGGAGTAGGTTCCAGGGTTTAGTATCAGGCAAGCACTTTTACCAGCCAGCCACACCCATGCCAGATTATGTAACAATTTAAAATCATTCTATAAGAAAGCAGTGTGATAACTCCACAACAGAGGACATTGTGCAAGACAACTCACTTTTCAACACTCACAGCACAGAAATAAGTGGATGGATGAGGTGCTAAATGAGAGGGACTTAAAATATTTTGGCTAAGAAAAATCACAACCAAATACAGTAAGTAGACCTTATTAGGATACTTATTGCAATATGTGAAGTGTAGGGGGAAAAATATAAGGAAAACTGAGTGTAGACTGGGTATTGGTTGCTATTGAATTATTAACTTTTAAATACACTGTGGTTAAATGAGACGACCTTTCTTTTTGAGATGCTTATTGAAGTGTTCAAGGATGTGCTTTAAAATACCTCAACTAAAAAGGGTTGTGTCCTGCACAGGGAGAGATGGCATGCACCAAGTAAAATAGTGATGTCTGAGTGATGGGTACATGAACTCTTGCATTTGTTACTTTTGTAGATGGTTGAAAAGTTTTGTAATGACCTTAAAATGAAGATTTGGGGAGATATGTGTGATTTTAACATTCGATAGAGCATCTCATAGCTATGATTTCTTTCTGGAACACTGAGAGGAGTTTAACGACCTCATCCTCAGGTGGAATGACATCTGTCTCAGCCAGAAGAGAAATTAGTTTAGAATGAAATGGTCCTTTAAAAAGTCCTTTTCATAAAATGTGGGCTCTAAATTCCTTATGCATTGCATCCAGATAATTCTTCTTGTTATACAAGTATCAATTTCATTCCATGTGGCTGGACTTGTGTTCAGTGTAGCATGTCACCATTTAGCCCCTAAATAATGCACGGCTTGATGTAGAAATGGACCAATCAAGTTACAGTCTGTTTTCAAGGATCTTCACAAGAGGTAATTTAGTCAAAATGCTGACTTTTAACAAAGGACTAAATGTGAAGTGCTCCTTCCTACACTGGATGAGGTAGAGCTCTCCAGACAATATTTCTCCTTATCCATTCTGTCCTCAGAAGCACCAACACCCCCTCTACCCCAACCCTTTACATCTGAATTGCCCTAGTAAATGAGAATTCCTGAAAAGAAGTAGTATCTGCAGAACTGACTGACTAATGAGAACTGTAGTGGTGTGGAGGGGCTTCCATAGTGCAGGTCCAAGCCTTATCTTGGGGCTGGATTTAGGCCCTAAATGGTCATTTCCTTGGCTATCTCTGTGTCAGAACACCCTGTGACTAACAGATAAAATCCATTTGTAATCTATTAACTTAGTAGACCACTAGCTTCCACCAACTCAAAAGCTAAGAATTATTTGTAATGCAGAGATAAATGTATGATTTTTACAACTCAAATAAAAAAAGAATGGCTGTCATTGGGCAATGGGACAGAGGGATGGAGAAGAAGCAAAGAGCTCTTGTTTGTCAATACAGATGATTTACAAACTGTGTTCTATATCATTTAATCACAATTAAATATTTATAAATTGACAAGGGAGGAATGTGACACAGGTGGAATAGACTTCATGTGGCCCCACAACATTGGAAACAAGAATACTACGCAGTAAAATGAGCTGTGCTGGCTTGAAATATGGAACAGGAACAGAAAGGTAGCACAGGGAGGACCATCGCCTGCCGTTTGCATGCCTCACAGCACCTAGAGCACCAAAGTCGAGAATTCAAAGTAGCCTCGATATGACACAAGTGTGAGTGGACTTCAAAAGCAATAACCAGGGATTCTATTTTCTAGCTGGAATTCAGTGTTGTTTTTTTTCTCTTTAGAGCTCTGCATCAACACAGCAGCATCTATTGTATCCTCACAGAGATAACTTATCTCCACTTTGACATGTTAGCTACTGCAAGAATGTTTACCCCTATTGTTTGAGTTGGAGAACTAGAATATACATGCATGTGCGTGAATGCATATGTGTGTGTAATGAAGAGACATACCATCATGAAAGCAGAAAAACAGTAATTGGGCAGTTAGGGACAGGGCAGAGGAGGGAGCAAAAGAAATATAACAGAAAGAGACACAGACAGCAAAAAGGCAGAGCAGAGAGAGGGAGGGAGTGGAAACAACACCGAGGAGACAGCATAAGGAAGGACTTCCTTTAGGCTTAAGCCATTTGGAGCCAGCTGGACGGTGCTCTCACACTGCAGACACTAACCCTGCACTTCCAAATGGGGCCATGGAGGCACACTGCATACTTTGTAACGGCTACTTGTCAGGAAGCCAGGTACCTACCCTTTGAGGAGCAGAAACAGGATATGAGGGTGAGAACTGATGTACTCCACAGTAGGACTCCGTGCACCGATCTGTCTTCTCAGGATGTTGTTGAATATCTGGGTCACGTCTTTTTTTCCCTGTTAGAGAAACATGTCACCATTAAGTGATATGCTTTAAATGGATAAACTGTATGGCACGTGGGATACAGACACACACTCTCATAGAGATAGTGTCATCCCGTATAAAATGCAGAACTAGGAATTTATTCTTTTCCTTTATCTTCACAAAGTCCATTAAATGGGTGCAACTCTTCACTCAATGTGTACGGTGGGGAACTTGGCAAGATGAAGTCCATTTGCACAACTGGAAATACAAAGGCACAGATGTGTACAAAGTAGCAGCAAGAATTGAATTTTTTATGCTTTTTCTCCTTCTAGCTTTCTCACGAAGAAAACAGGAACTGATATTTTAAAATCTCCATAAATGAGAGAAAATAGAAGAAGAGCATAAGTTAAGAATAAAGAAAATGTGAGAGTCAAATTCTTTTTTCTTAACAGCCAATTCTGGGTAATACTATCCCTTCACTTTATCTACTCTGTTACCTTAGGGCCTTTGAAAAACTTTTTAAAAATGAGATGTAAATTTAAAAATGCAAGTTTCCCCTATGTAATATGCAACTTGTATGTACATGTCTTACCTATGTGAAATCACACATAGCTAGAGAAAGAGAAGAGAGTTTCTAGCCTAACTGCCTGAACTAGAGGAACTACTGCCAATCTTCCACACGGCTTTTGAGCCTTCCCACATCCTACAACCTGAGCTGAGCCTGATTCTATAACAGAATCCATGAACTGGACCCATGTTTCCCATATAACAAGAGGGGGCAAGAGTGACACCAATTACCCTGCTCTTTGTCTTTCAACTATCAAAGGCTGTGAGTTACTCTGTGTCCCCCTTTCAAAGCATCTTCACTCTGCACAATCAGCTACCAAGAAGTGATACCAGTCTGTCTCTTCTCTTAAGTTCCTCGGTGTCTCCTTTATGCTTAGAAAAGCCCAGCCCCCTCCAATACATAGCCCTGCCTATGGCTTTGCACTCCTGCATCAGGTTCTACTGCTCCCAACTGACTGGGATGTGTGCTCACACACAACCTGTAGTGTTCCTGCAGCTCTGGCTCGTGTTCTCCTTTGTCCTACGTGCTGTTCCACAGCCCATGTTACAAGACTCAGTTCAGTATATTCTTCTCTGAGACGAATGTCCTTACAAGAGTTTAATAATACCCTTTGCCCACAATAACTGGTCCCTCTTCTACCTGACTACCTCGAACCTCCACCTCCTGCCAGAGCAGAACACCTTTAGTGAGTACTGGATCCATGCCAGAACTTATGTCAACAGCTAGCATGCACTATTCAGTCTCTTCAACAACCTTATGAGGGGCACATTAGGAATAGGA